GCTGAACACGCACGTGAAGCCCCTGATCTGGGTCGAGGCGGTTGTCGACCCTGGGCACTCGCGCTCTCGGATTGAGTATATGATCAAGGCCAGTGCGTGGCGCCGTCCCCCGTCCCCCCCTCCAGGGCTCATTTCGATTCCTCCGATTCGAGTCGATTCGAGTTCGATGGTTTCCGATCCCGACTCGATTCGATTCGGGATTCCGATTCGGATTCCTATTTCTCAGTGGAGCCCTCACTCGCCCGCCGATTTACGCCGATTCGACTTCTCCCGACTTGGCTGCCGAGCTCCTCCGATCCGATTCGTTTCGCTCGCCGCTCGGACCGAGCGATTCGAATCTGGGCTCTCCTGCCAGTGCGTGGCGCCGTCCCCGTCCCCCTCCCCTCTCTGGATGGGGGACATCTCGCTAGGGGGGATGGGCGGCTCCCCGGAGGGGGGGGGGGGGGGGGGGCGAACCCCGATCGCCCAGAGATCGCCGACAGGGGCCTCGCAGCCCACCCGCCCAGGCACGTGCGTTTCGCCGTCGGGGGCCCAACGCCGATCCGTCGGCGGTGCAGGGCCGATGAAAGCTCGATGCTTTCCTTCGCGGCCAGTCCCCTGGTGGTTTTCGGGTCACAGCCTGGGCCTCGGGCGGCCGTTCGCGACGATCCGCGAACCCCCCAGAACGCTCTCGTCGGGGCGGAGCCGCTGAAAGGATTTCCCGAGGCTGGAAAGCCGCTGTGAACCAACGAAAGCGTCCGAAAACCTCGAACGCCGAACCTCGAACCTATCGCTGCCCTTCCACAATCGGGCCTATCGAACCTATCGAACCTATCGAACCTCGAACCTATCGAGCCCCGCATCTATCGAACCTATCGAATCTATCGGACCCATCGAACCTACGGAACCTACCAAACCTTTCGATCCCAGAACCTCGAACCTAGCTTGTCCTCTCCCCGCTCCCATTTTCGTCTCGCCCAGGGGGAGCTGCAGGGGCATGAGCAGCCTGGCGGCGAGGGGGCGAGGGGGCGGTGGGGGGGAAGGAGGGTGGAGGAGGGGAATGCAGGAGGATGGGGGAACATGGAGGAAGAGGGAGGAGGCGGGAGGAGGAGGGAGGAGGCGGGAGGAGGCGGGAGGAGGAGGGAGGAGGATGGAGGAGGCGGGAGGAGGAGGGAGGAGGGAGGAGAGGAGGAGGAGGAGGAGGAGGATGGAGGAGGAGGAGGATGGAGGAGGATGGAGGAGGATGGAGGAGGAGGAAGGAGACGGAGGAGGATGGAGGAGGATGGAGGAGGATAGAGGAGGAGGAGGAGGAGGAGGAGGAGGAGGAGGAGGAGGAGGAGGAGGAGGAGGAGGAGGAGGAGGAGGAGGGGAGGATGGAGGAGGATGGAGGAGGAGGAGGAGAGGAGGAGGAGGAGGAGGAGGAGGAGGAGGAGGAGGGAGGAGGAGGAGGAGGAGCAGCGTGAGGTTGGCCTCCCCTGGAGCGCGGCGCTCGCCCGCGCCGGCCCGCGCCGGCCCGCAGGCCAAGTCTCAGTTCAAGTCCCGGAGCGTAGCCAACAACGTGGAGGTCCACATCCCGGTGCCCTCCGACGTGGATTCCCCGTCCTTCAAGACGTCGATTGGCACCGTGCGGTACATCCCCGACCAGGAGACGGGGCGGGCTCGGGCCAGCGGAGCGGGGGGGGGTCGGCGCCGGGGTCGGGGGGCGCCTTTGCCCGAGGTCGTCGTCCTCCTCCTGCTCCTCCTGCTCCTCCTCCTCCTCCTCCTCCTCCTCCTCCTCCTCCTCCTCCTCCTCCCCTTTTTCCTTCTGCCCTGCGGCGTGGACTTCCCAGTGGCTGCGACAGATCCCCCTGCTGCGCCAGCGCACTAGCGCAGCAGGAAGGTGGTTGAGTTGAGGACCCGCTCCACTTCGGTGCTTTGTTTGAACTGGCGTGGGTTTTGAACACGCCCTTCATGTCCTCAGCCTCTTGATCCTTTTTTGCCTCCTTCGTCTTCGTTTTCCCTCTCGATGGCATCTTGGAGGCTTCTTGCGGACCCCCTGGGGCCTCCTGATGGTATCGGGGGCTTTGATGGTCGTTTGCAAGGGACATTGTGTGACATTGTGGAAGCAAGACACGGCATATGGGCAAACTACATCGAACACATCCTGTTTTTCAGCGCTGTTTGCCCTCCTGGTGGCGTCCTTGGGGCCCTCGTCGGTTATCTCAGAGGCAATTGGGGTTAAGTCGGGCCTGTCCCTCTACAGGACGAATGTTTTGAGATTTGTTGAGAGTAGTTTTGAACATGTTCGAGCATTTTGTTGGTACAAGTCTACCTAGACTTGGGGTCCATCATCGGCAGTCGTGGAGATCTTGGGGCTTTCTTCGGGGCCTCTTGGGGCCGTGCAGGAGGCCTCTTGGGCCCGCCTGGCCGTCTGGTGGCGTCCCCGGCTGGGAATCCTGGGGCAGCCCAGAGCGGCCAGGAAGGTGAGGCCCCTTGCCCTGTTTTTTGTTGGTGGGGCACCCCAGTAGACTTAGGTCGGGCATGTCTATCTACAGGAGGAATATTCAGAAATAGTCAACATAGCCTGGGGATGCTTTTCTAGCATTCTCTGATTATGTCTGAATACACTTGGAGTATAGTTTGAATATTTTAGTTTTTCGTCCAAAATCCGCCTGCAGGGGGACACGCCCAACCTCACAGTAGACAGACAGGGCTGGAGCGACGAGAGGCACCAGCAGAAGGCAGCCCGATCAAAGCAAGACAGTAGTCCCAAACAGCACGCTCCACGGCCTTGCGCCTCCAAGGGAGGCCACTGGATTCGGTTTCAGTGGCATTTTCGTGTGCTGTTGTTGATGATGCGGGTGGTGTCACTCGGAGGTTGATGGGCCACCTACCCTGCCACGCCGATTAGCGAATTGGCCGTGTTCGATTCGCGAGAGGGCGTCGCGGCCGCCATTTTTGCGGGTCCAGGTCCGTTGGTTTCGGTCCGAGGCCGTTTTCACTAAAAGGTGGTTTGCTAAAGGGAGGTTTGTCCACCGCCGAATGATGCAAATGATGCTACAGCCTGCCAACATCCTTCCTCGCATGGATCACTGAATGTAATGGGATGATCTCCTGGACCCTGCTTTCTCAGACAGGGGCCGTGCACTTCGATTACCAGGCGGAAGACATGGCGGGAGAGAGTGAGAGAGCAGAGTGGGGGTACGGAGGGGAGGGAAGGAAGGGCGGAGTTATCTTGGCCCTGGGCACCTGTTGTTTCCTCAGTCTGGGACTCGGGCACCAGATTCGCCCCCTGGCCGCATCCAGGCAACATCCAGTCCCTGGATCCCTGCCTGTGGCCAAGAGCCCAGGAGGAGGGGCCCCTGCCTCTCCACCAGAACATGTCCGGTGCCAGCGGGTTGTAAGCCAGGGCCCCTCCCCCTTTCCCTCCCCCTGTCCCTCCCCCTCTCCCTCCCCCTCTCCAAGAGGCGACCAAGCATGGTAAAACACCACGCTTCCAAGAAGCATATGCCGCCACTCTTGTCCACCCCGAGCGCGGTGTGGCAAGCCGCACCACCATCGCTCTCGATAAGATGTGGCGCCAACTCAGAGCGGTAAGCGATCGCTTGGGACAGCACCATGCTTCCTACAACACACATGGCACCAGCCATCATCAAATATGGGAACGCACAAAGCGCTCATGTATTGCGGCGAACGTCCTTGCCCAAAGACGGCGACCCACCTGCCTCACACATTCCCCACGTCCGGAACCCAGACGAGCTCCCCACCGACCTGCACCTGGACAACCTGCAGAGAAGGTGCAGCCAAGGGAACATAGCCAACCGTATCACGGCCTGGCGGACCAGGATGAGAGCCAACGACGGAGGTACGGGGAAAGGCACGTGGGTCAAAACGGTTGACAACTCAAGTACGGTCTACCTGCGTACACCGCTGAGGAGGCCCCCCTGAGCCACCAGGCAGGTGGGCGGCGGCGAGTCAGCAAGAGGGCGGGCCCCCTTCCGACTGCGAGTCACCAGACCCACAGTCACAAAGCGGTGATGCATCCACCCTTCACAGCGGGAGCGAGTCTGCCAACCAAGGCCCCTCGTCCAATTCGGCTGGCGAAGGACCCAACCATCTGCAGTTTTGAGTTCCGCGGTTTAGAGAGTCGTTATCGGTGGAGCCCCCTTCGGGGCAGCAGAACGTACGGGTGTGTGCCGAAACGGCTGCGCGCACGCCATGCGGAGTTTGCCGCTGGGGCCTTCGGCGGAGCCCCTTCTGGGGCCACGAAGCGTGTGAGGGGTTTGCTGGATCGAGTGCTGGTACGCCATGCGGACTGTGTCGTTGGGCCTTCGGTGGAGCTCCGTCTGGGGCTACGAAGCGAGTGAGGTGTGTGTGCCGAATCGGGTGTGGGTGCGCCACGCGGATTGTGCCGCTGAGGCCTTCGGTGAAGCTCCGTATGGAGCCACGAAACGTGTGATGGGGTGTGCTGTATCGGGTGCGGGTACGCCATGCGGACTGTCCCACTGGGGCCTTCGGTGGAGCTCCGTATGGGGCCACGAAACGGGTGAGGGGTGTGCCGAATCGGGTGCGGGTGCGCCATGCGGACTTTGCCGTAAGGGCCTTCGGTGGAGCTCCCTGTGGGGTCACGGAACGTGTGAGGTATGCGCTGTATCGGGTGCGGGTACGCCATGCGGATTGTCCCATTGGGGCCTCTGGTGGAGCCCCTTATGGGTCCACGAAACGTGTGAGGGGCGTGCCGAATCGGCTGCGGGTGCGCCATCCAGACTGTGCCACTGGTGCCTTCGGTGGAGCTCCCTATGGGGCCACGAAGGGTGCGAAGGGTGTGCCGAATCGGGTGTGGGTACGCTATGCGGACTGTGCCAGTGAGGCCTTCGGTGGAGCTCCCTATGGGGCCACGAAGGGTGCGAAGGGTGTGTCGAATCGGGTGCGGGTACGCCATGCGGACTGTGCCATTGGGGCTTTTGGTGGAGCTCCCCATAAGGCCACGAAACGTGTGAGGTGCGTGCCAACATGGGCATGCGGGTGGCGGACGCACGGATGGGGGCAGAAGGGGGGGGGGAGGAGGGAAAGGAAGAGGAGGAGGGGGGGGGGGAGAGGAGAGGGGAGGACGCGAGGAGGGAGCAGGATGGTTTGGCAGGAGGGCAGGAGGAGGGACGGAGGGAGGCATTGGAGGCAGACAGGAGAGATTTTTACTTGGGGGCCATTTGACGCCGAGTACCGCAGGATCTTTCCGCCCTCGCCCCCGCGCCGCCTTTCGTCCTGACTGACGAAGCGCTAATCCTCAGCCACGCGCAGAGGGGGGTGGGGGAAGGGGGGAGGGCTTCTTAGAAGCACCCCTGCTTCTGAGAAGGCGCGGGCCTTCTCTACAGATTTCAGGCCGTCGCCTTCTAAGAAGCAGACAAGGGCGAAGATGCTGTAGCCAAGCCTGTCCCTGGGGCCGCAGGTGGAGCTCCCTGAGGGGCACGACCCGTGCGACAATCTGTGTCTTCCAGCACCGAACAATGTAGACTACAACTAGAGCTTGCCAGAACCACTAGCCTACAACCAGAGCTTGCTAGAACCTCTGCGCGCGAAGCGCGCGCGCGGTTCTATAGATATATGTGTGAATATATACATAATCTATGGAGGATCACGCTATGGTCTTTATATGATTAATTATATTATTATTATATATATATATATGATATTATATTATATTATTATTATATATATATATAGATATATATATATATATATGTATCGGAGTAGGCCTGGGGGGGGCCAAAACCGGTGCCATCATCCCCCATGGGCGCCCCCCCGAACCTTTGGGGGGTCACAGACCCCCCGGGACTGCCCCGGGCCGCTTCCAAATTGCCCACGACAGGCCACGCGGGACGCCCCCAGAGGCCATCAAGAGGCCCCCAAGAAGCCCCGTGAGGCTCCCAAGAGGCCCCCTGGAAGCCCCAATAGGCCCCGAAGGGACCCCCAGGGAAGCCCCCTGCAGGCCCCCAAGACACTTCGGTAAATCGTATTTCCCAGATAGCTTTCTGGGAACATGATTCCTTGGGCTTCCGCCCACCGCCCCAACCATGTTTCCAATAGGCTTGCCGACAAGGCCAAAAGGCGCCCCTCGGTGAGCCCCCAGAGGCATCCTTCTTAGAGAGCCGAACAAATCATGCTCCCGGAAAGCTTCCCGGGAACATGATTGGAGTAGGCCCGGGGGGGGGGGGCGGGCCGCTGCCTGTTTTCCCCATCGGTGCCCACCAGGGGTTCGGAGGGGGGGTCCAGGGCTCCCGAGGCGGGCCGAGCCCGCCCCGAAGCAGGCCACGACAGGCTAATGGAGGTCCCGAGAGGACCCAAGACGGTCCCACGAGGCCCCGAAGACGCCCAAGATGCCCTCAAGACAGCCGACGAGGACTCCAAGACGCTCCAGGACGGACTCAAGAGGCTCCCCAAGAGGGCCCTGGAAGGCAAGATTCACTCGTTTTCCGATGGTTTTGAAGGATTTAGGCGTTCTCGCTCTCCCCGCCTCCCAGCGCTCCCTCACGGCCTCGCTCGGAGGCCCTCAAGATCGCTCCAAGACGGCACACGAGGCCCCGAAGAGGGCCCCAAGACCCCCAGGCGTCCCAACTGTGCCTCAAGAGCTCCCCAAGAGAGGGCCCAGAGGGGGACCGCCAACCGATATTTCGAGGTCTCTGGCCCTAGAGGCCGCCTGTAGGCCCACGGAGGCCACCAAGAGGCTCCCACGAAGCCCCGTGAGGCGCCCAAGAGGCCCCCAGGAAGCCCCAAGAGACCCCGAAGGGGCTCCCAGGGAACGCACGTGAATCCTTTGAACCCCACGTTTCTGAGTGGTCATGCGCGTCGCACCCGGATCAGTGAGCAGATTAGCAATGCAGAATCATGTGCATAGCATCTTGAGGCATGGTGTGTATTATAGTTCTGATAAACTGTTTCGGCATACGCGCGCTGGAGGCGCGACGCCCCTGGAGCTCTCGACCCCGTCCCTGCTTGGGTCGTTTCTTCTTTCCCTGGGCTCTCGACCCCTTCACGGGGTGTAGACGTCCGGAGACCTGTCGGGAGGGCTTCCTTTCGATCGGCTCCAGGACCCAAGCCATGTGAATAGCGTGTCACACAAGCAGAACTGTTTGTAGACTTTATTGCCAAAGCCATCGCCGATCTATCGATGATGCATGCATCTGTGCTGTCCGCAGCTACCTTTTTTAGTCAATGTAATAACATATTGTCTATCGCCGGTTGGCAATCCAGCTACGTCTGGCACGCGCGCGCCAGCTGCTACTGCAACCGCTCTGGCTCAAGCCAAGCCGAGCGCACACTGACTGGAAAAGGTACTCGCCTTTCATCCTTCTATTCGTTCCACTGCGATCGTCATGTCAGAAAATTTACCCCTAGTAGCAGTGACAAGGGTTATGAGCCCAAAGCCGAATGAAGGATTATTGGTTGGTGTACACGCGAGCTGTCAACGATGCCATGTACAAGTGTACGAACCTGCGCTGTGCACGCAGTGCGGCGTGTTCGGCCACCCACAATGTATCAACCTCGAGTACTTCCAGGGGTACCCGTTCTGTGGTACATGTATGGCCGGAGTCACACAACAGTACGCTTCGTATGAAAGTGGTCTACGACGGGAACAGTGGACACGTTCTCTGGCTGAGCAACTTACTACCTGGCGAGGGCGGGCCACAGAAGCACTTGGTCTGTCAGCTTCTGTAGGAGTGGCAATCGGAGGTGCAGCGGCGACCGCTACTGGTGCAGCGCTTTCGCTGGTGCGTGGAGTAGTGCAAGGGGTTAGGGAAGGAGCTACTTCTTCAGAGCCACTGGCTTTGCCAGCCCCCGAGCCGCCAGCAGAGCCAACCACTGCTTCTGGACAGCTTACCAGCCGCGAGCTTCTCAGGCCGAAGAGAGCCGCCAGGCGGGCCCAGTCCTTCGACCGCGCCGCCGGCGCCGCTGGTGGCCACTGCTTGGCGTGCCACACGGCCAACTTAGGCCACGCCCGCCACCTTCGCTCCGGAGACTGCGTGGGTTTCCCTGGAAGCTCGTTCTACCGCCGACAGGAAGCGCCAGCGCCAGAGCCAGCTCAACCACTACCAGCCCTGCAGGAACCAACCGAGGCACAGACCTTGGACGACAAGGCCGCAGACGACGCCACGAAACTCACGCCGCCGAGCTCTTACAACAGTGCCTACGACGGCACCGCAGCACCGACGACTGGGGACCAGTCGGGAGGGAAGCCTTCCGATAGGCCCCCTGGCCTGGATCCGTCGGGAGGGCCTCCTTCCGATGGACCTGGGGACCGGTCGGGAGGGAAGCCTTCCGATAGGGCCCCCGGCCAGGTTTCGTCGGGAGGGCTTCCTTCCGATGGGCTTGGCCGGGCTTCTGCTTCTGCCCCGCAGTACGGCAACGAGCTCAGCGACGCGATCCAGAGTTTGACGTCGGTGGTGGAGGGCTTGTCGACTACAGTGAAGAACCTTCAAGAGTCGGTCGAACGTCTCAGTGGCAGAGTAGAGCAGGTAGAGTTCGAATTGGCTTTCTGGCAGTCTGTTCAGGTTCAGGACGAGCTCCCCGACAGCAACACCGCACCACACCAAGCAGAGTACTACCAGCTGAGTGCCAGCGGCACGCCGCGCAGCGCGGCAGGCCGGCGCAGCGATCCCGATCCGAGCGCCGAGTGGTACGACGCGCCGGCGAGGGATCAGAGCCCGATTTTTGGGGCAGGAAACGTGGCCGACGACTTGTTGGCCATTACAGAGGGCCAGGGGGCCCGGCAGCCGCAGGAGCTGCCACCGCAGCCATCCACCGCACCTACGGCGAGGCTCCCGCTGCAGGACGGCGGCTGCGCGACGGCGAGCTTACCCAGGAGGGAGGCGAACCTTACGACGACGTCTGGGGACCCAGGGTTGTGGCCACGACCCGATGTTCCTGGGCAGGAACAACAAGTACCACCAGGACTGATTCAGCAGGGTATCACCGACGACCAGGGCATCCTCTCCCGAGGCGCAGGCGCATCGCGCAGCGGAGCGTTGGCCAGTCGTCTGCCTGTGAACCCCCGCGGCACGGAGGTCAGTGTCAACCAGGAGAATTTCGTAAGCGGGAGCGTTGCTCCATACTTGCAGCCACTTTCGCTGGTCGCCGTTACGCCACAGACGATTCCTCCGAACACTAACGACAGTGACGTGTTTTCTTTCCTGGGAGGTGCACAGCCCGCGCGGTCCCTGGGGGGCCACGCAGCAGCCGGGGCAGAGGGCCCATCTGCACGGCAGCCGCAGAGCGCGAGTTGTGGAGCGCCGCCTCTGGGAGCACTCGGAGGACTGGCGCCGACTCCACCTGAGCTTCTTGACGGGGATGCGCCCCCGCAGTCTTTGAGCCCGGCGGAGCTGAATATGTTGATGAAGTCTATTCAGGTGTTCGTGCCAGAGTTTCCCAAGCTAGAGATGGGCGATTCTTCTTCCAGAGCAGGTAGACTTCTGAGTTGGCGGATTTCTGTCGACCAGGCCATAAACCCGGCTGGCCCGCACTTGATCCAGTGGTGGAAGTGGTGCCAGCGCGAGGCCGAGAAGGCATATAAGATGTTTCTTAAGATGCCGATTCACCAGCGGGAGGCGGTTCTCCCTACTGCTCCAATGCCGGAGGCATGGTTGCAGGTGGAAGCGTGGATCAGGCCACGCATACTCGACGCGCTGCCGAAGGACATCCGCGATTGGGTAAACTTGAGGGCCCGCCAAGGCAAGGTGGACCCATCACACGTTCTTCTCTTCTACGTGATGAAGACTTTCTCCCCTGGCGGTGCGGACGAGAAGGTTCATCTGATCAACTCAGTGCTGAACCCGAGCGTGTGCTCACAGCCGCGCGCGGCCCAGGTGGAGCTTTTGAAGTGGAAGGAGAATCTCCGGAGGTGTGCCGAGCTGGGCTGCTACCCTCCAGATCTTCTTCTGGCTTACAGAGCGATGGAATCCATCTTTTGTGCTGTATTCGACAAAGCCGAACCGCAGCTCCACCATAGATGGGTTAATCTTCGCAATCAATTTGGTCTGCCTCACGTGATTACCCTGCAGGCGATAGAACACGTCGCTGCTTTCACCGAGGCGGAGCTGGGAGCGTTGGTTCTTCATGGGGGCGTTGGTTTGAACACCGGACTACCTCTCACTGACAACCAGAAGGCGCGCCAGCACCAGATCAAGGAGACGGAAAAGAAACGTGCCGCCGCTCTCCGGCAAACAGCGGCGCAACCGACGCAACAAGCACCGACTACTGGGAATGCCGCTGCCGTTCGCTACTCTTCCACGACTTCTAGCTGGGCCAGCCCCTGCAGGTCCTGGACAGAGCGTGGCGTCTGCCAGCGCGGCATTAGTTGTCATTTTGCCCACCCCGGCTTCCCTGTCACGGAGGACCGCTGCATTACTTGCGGCGCCAAGGACCACAGGGGGAAAGACTGCAAGGCGCCGGGAGGCGGAGCCGACCCTAACCGTGAAGCCGCCTGGGAGGAGTACCGCAAGAGAAAGGAGCAAGCAGCAGCCGCAGGGAAAGCAGGAGCCAAAGGACGAGGCAAAGGACACCCAAAAGGAGGAAAAGGTAAAGACAAAGACAAGGACAAGGGCAAGGCGAACGCAGCCATTTCTGCTGAACAACCTGCAGGCGCACCGCCGGCGACCAGCGCCCAGGCCAAGGCGGCCTTCGACGGAGAGTCTCTGAGGGCCTCTTCGGCTACGACAACCGCGAGGTTTCCGAGGCAGGCCGTTGGTTTGGACAGCTGGGCGAACGTGCGCCTGATTCACCAGAAGGGCACCGTCTCTGACGCAGAGTACCCGCATACCCTCAGTCTGGCGCACGGCCAGTGCAAGTGCCGACGGGATACCGGGCGCAAGGGCGTACCGCGATGTTTCGTACCTTGGGAGGATAACAGTGACAACATTGATCTCTTCCCAGAAGGGTTCCTGTGGGAACGCGGCTGCACGATTGAGCGGGGCGACCAGCACGTCTTGCGGACGCCGAAGGGCAGGGTCTTCAAGATCCAAACGTGGGGTTCTCTACCGTACATCCTCAAGAGCGACTTGAACCTCGTCTTGAACGATTTACCAGACACCCTTCAGCCCGGCCGCAGCGGGCGCCAGGCAGAGACCCCGACAGCCGCCAGAGCCTCCAGGACGGCAGCGGACCAGAAGCAGCTGAGGTCGCAGCTCAAGCACCTCGTGGACGACTTCGGCAAGAAGGGTGTGCAGAACATCCAGTCCAAGTACCGCAACTTGCCGGATCTGTACTACAACGACGACGCCGACGCCATCATCACCCCTGCTCGCTTTGAGGAGCTGGGAGACGACGCGGTGCAGTCCAAGGGGGGTTCTACTGGCATGGCCCGTGTGTGGGAGCACTGCAGTGGGTCATCGGCGCTGAGCGACCACGCTCGGAACACTGACGTTCCCCACTTACCACCAGTCGACTACCGATATGGTTGGAACACAGGGAGGGCGGACGACCAGACGACCATCGTGGACGCGATCATATCCCCCGGCGTGGAGACTCTTTTCGCTTCGCCGAATTGCGCTCCGTGGGGAAACCACACCAGAAACCTACCAGCAGACACTCTGGAGACCAAGAGGCGATCCGAGACACCGTGCTTGAGGTTCTTAGCGGTGTGTTGTTTCCTGCAGTTACTGATGGGTAGACGTTACATCATCGAGAACAGCGCGCATTCCGACATCTTCACCAAGAGCCCGCTCGAGCCTCTACGGACGATGCCGTTTCACATGGCATTGCTGGACCAATGCGCTTGTGGTGGACAACTCGAAGGGCAGCTCATTCGGAAAAGGTCACACTTCCAAGGCTCTCACGAGCTACCGAACTTGAGCGTGCAGTGCCGTGGCGGCCACGATCACCTCCACCTCCGAGGGGCCGGTCGCGCTGCATCTGCGGCACAGTACCCCAAGGAAGAGTGCCGGCGAATCCTTTTGGACTGTCCAGCCGGGCCTGATCCAGCTGAAGGGGGGAGGTACACACCTTCTCTTTCAAAACTGGCTGGTTTGAGTAAGGCTTCGAGGATCGAGTGCGTGCTTGGTGACTTACACCGGATTGCAGTGGACAAAGACTTCGGTGTTCAGTGGAATATGATCATGGGTCCTTGGTTACAAGAGCATCCAGTGTTGAGAAAGAGCTCAGTGGTTCAAGTGGCTTCATCTGCATCATGCTCACAGTCATCACCGTTATCACATACTATACAAACACATGGGTTGGGGTACGCGGGTGATCGGTCGGGAGGGTTACCTTTCGATAGTCGCCGTGGTGATCCGTCGGGAGGGCTTCCTTTCGATAGACACCATAGCTCGATTCAGACACGTGGTATGGGATGTGAAAAGGATCCGTCGGGAGGGGCGCCTTTCGATTGGTTCCGTAGCCGTGTTTGCTCAGGCAACGTGTCGGGAGGGTTTCCTTTCGACGAGCGTTCAGAACGAGTCAACCCGGCAGCGCAGAGTTGTGAACCCATGCAGGCGCACATGCTAGCCATGTTGGCCACGATGGCTGCGAGGGTGGATTCTCTCGGGGCCGCAGTGCAGCAGGCTGTGGGCATACCAGCTACTTCTGTGGCGTGCACTGGCACGGTGGGAACGGGAGCCGGAGAGTCCCCTGACAGCGAGGAGGCCGTAGCCGGGCCGCCTCTACCTCAGTCTTCCCATCAGCGCCGGGAGTTGCAAGACCTGGTGGGGGGCGAGCTCCGGGACAAACCGTGGCAACATCAGAAGTATTCTGCCGACAGTGCTCTATGGCAGGGTGCCGCACTACGGCGTCGACAGCACCATCGCCGGTCGAACGTGTCTCTGGGCGTATGTACTGTGGACCTGAGTGGCCCTCATGAGCCAACGCCCCGGCCAGGAGGACAGATTACAAAAGATCCGTGTCATTATTTCTTGGTCTTAACAGTGAGGCCAGATGAGACAGCATCTTCTTGTGACGTGGCTGTGCAGACTTCTGGGCCAGACGGAGGCCAGGAGCAGGCGGGCGGAACTGCCGGGCAGACGTCGCCGCGACCGGCTCTGATCTACGTCGCCCTTCTGGGCGCGAAGAGCGAGGCCCCGAAGGCAGTGCAACATCTGCTCGCCCAGGTCAACAATGACCACGCCAACTTCCCGACCGAGATCGTGTTCCGCTTGCACAGTGACCAGGGGTCCGAGTTCATGAACGAGGAGCTCAGCAACTTCTGCTCCTACCACGGCATCCACAAAACATCGACAGCAGGCTACGACCCTAACGGGAATGCCTCTGCCGAGTCGGCCGTGGGCATCTTGAAGCGCAGGGCCCGGTACCTCTTGAGCGGCAGCAGACTTCCGACCACCTGGTGGGGAGTAGCGACACTTGCAGCAGCTCAGTTGTGCAGAGCAGACGCTGGACTGGGAGAGTACCCTCGGATACCTTTCGGTACCAGGGCGATGTTGGTGCACGACCCTCCTCCGAGAAACGCCTTTCTGCCACGCGCAGAGCCAGCAACGGTGTTCGGCCCCAGCAGCACTGTCCCGAACGGGATGTGGACGTACCAGCGAGGCGCGGTGAAGGTCAAGACCAACTTGCAGCCCCAGGGTTTGAACGAGGAAGAGCTCAATTGGGTCAAGATCAACATGAGCAACTGGGATCCGCCTGACGCTCCACTGCCTCTTCCGGAGCCAGAGAAGTACGACGCCGGAGCGGTGGTTCCTTCGTTCTTACCAGACGGAGCAGCTACGCGAGAAACAGCAACTTGCCCAGCTTGCGTGGCAATTCGCCGCAAGAGGCGGCAACTGGAACCCCATAGTCTGGTTTGGGGGGAGTGTCTCAAGGCACCGCCGCCTCCGCCAGCAGCACAAGGGCCCGTAGTCGACGTACCTGCTGAAGGACCTCCGCCGGCCGACGAGGCGGACGACGAGCCCGCGAACCATCCTCGAGAGGATCACGGTGGGCCGCCGCCGGTCGCCGCGAAGGTGGCGGCAAGCTCTGGCGAGACTCGGCGCACGTACGGGGCAACGTCCTTGAATGCCTTCTTGGAGTACCCCCATGCATGCCTTGCTCTATCCGAAGCGGCCACCTGGGGTTCAGCTGAACAAGACCTCTCGCATGTTGGCGACACAGAAGTCCCTGGCACAGAGGACACTTTGGGCCGCACTTCCGACGATGAAGACACGGAGTTGGACCTCGATGACGAGTGGGCCGTGCACGGAGGAGCTGTTGTTCCCGATATGTCTCTTGTGGATCACGCTGATCATCCGGGTCAAGCCGCTGATGACCATGATTGTAATGCCGGAGCACTTCAAGATGAACGTGGTGACGCTGACGCAGACGTGGACGAACCTTGCCCTGAGGCGCCTGCGCTGCGACGGAGGCGCAAGCAGAAGGAACGAAGACGCTTCAAACGGCAACGTCAGCAAGGACACTACTATCCCGTCTGCTTCGACTACGCCGGAGCTGCTGTTCAGGCGGCAGAAGGCCATGTCGATCTCCTGCACAAGGAGGCGCTGCAGCAACTGATCGACAAGGAGCCGGAGAAGCGGATCGTGCCGACCCAGGAGGTCGCGAAGAGCGTCGGGGCTGAGCTGATGAACTGGAAGCTCGCGGCGGAGGCGGAGTTGACCGGCAACTTCTTCGGCATGGGGGCTTTCCACAAGACGACCCCTGACGAGCTCCGCGCGCATGGGCGGCCGCTGCCGATGACGTGCGTGTGGTCCAAGAGCGACGAGAAGTACAAATGCCGAGCCTGCGTGTGCGGTAACTTCGCCGAGCCGGACCCCAAGCTGCAGTCCTGGACCGCGCAGGCCGAACCATCCTCGTTGCTCGCTGCGCTGAAGCTCGGCGCAATGCGTGGCTGGACCGTGAGCAAGCACGACGTCAAGGGCGCCTTCCTCAACGCGTACATGCCCAAAGACAAGCTCGTCGTAGTTGCCCCTCCGGCTCAGTGGGTGCGCTGGGGACTCGTGGAGGCCGGCATCAATTGGACCTTGGACAGGGCTGTGTACGGTTTGCGCGAGTCACCGAAGCTATGGGCAGAGGAGCGAGACAAGAAGCTCCGCGACTTGCGGTGGACAGGCCCGGCTTCTGGGAACAATAAATCGCATTACCTTGAACAGGGCAGTGCTGATTCGCAAGTGTGGTACATCAAGGACGCCACAGACACTTCGAAACAGGTTTTGGGTGTATTGGTCGTTTACGTCGATGATTTACTCTTGGTGACAGAGATGGGATCTACAAGATCTGCTCTCCTGGCCGCAATGGAATCGATGTGGACTCTCGCCAAGGAGGCCGTGCTGGAGGTAACCAGGCCTCTGACCTTCTTGGGCATTGACATCACTCTTCTGCACAATGGTGATATCAAGCTTCACCAGGAACGCTTCGTGGACAGTCTTTTGAAGAAGTACGGCATGGAAAACTGTAATGCCATCAAATGCGTCCAAATGGGGCCGCTGCCAGCAGAACCAGACGAACCTGCTTTGCCTGCTCTCCGGCAGCTACAAGCATATAGTGGGGAATACAACTGGCTTGCCACCAGAACGCGCCCAGACATATCATACTACACCTCGTTATTGGCATCTTCGTGCTCAAAATTCTCGTCTTGGAGTATGGAACTCGCCCAGAAGATACTCAGGTACCTGAAGGGCACTGCGTCCAAAGGGATCCTTTTGACGAGGGCAGGCAACGAAGAGTGCTTGGAAGTGTGGACAGATGCCGGGTACGCCGGTGCTGACACCCGCTCTCAGAGTGGATTGGTCGTGGTATGGGCTGGCAGCATCGTGGCATGGCGCTCTTCCAGACAGTCGGTTTCTACTCTATCGACAGCAGAGGCAGAGCTCTACAGTGCGACGCTGGGGTGGCAAATAGTGGAGGGTCTGAGGCATCTTCTCTCTAACCTCGGCGCCAAGATCCCCAAAGTGACGGTTCTCATAGACAACCGGGCTGCTCTGAGCATAGCCATGTGCGGCGCCAATTGGAGGACGCGTTATTTTGCCGTGCGTGGACACCGGCTTCACGAAGAACACGAACGTGGAGCAGCAGAGCTTCTGCACTGTCCAACATCTGGCATGATCGCGGACTGCTTGACGAAGCTCGCCGCGAACGCGGTCATCCAGGTGCTTCTCGACGCCATGGACGGTGTTTTTCCGGAGAGAAATGTCGAACTGCCAGACTCAGGAGCGCGACGGGCTGAGCACCAAGGCTCAGGGCAGGGCGCGGTGAAGCAGGACCACCATCGCACCTCCGTCTCTCCTGGACCTTGGAACCGTGGAGACATCGCAGGCGACGGCCCAGATCCGTGGAGACAGGTTTCGGCGTCGGGAAGCCAGTCGGGAGGGCGACCTTCCGATAGGCTCCCGTCGGGAGGGCAACCTTCCGATGGACGTCGTGATGCCGCTTCCTCTGCTTCGTTGGGACCAAGCGCAGGCGCCACTGGAACGGGGAGACGCTCTGTGTACGACTCTGCGACCACCCGGAAGGTCATCGAGTCTTGGAGTGACAAGCCTCCGCCTGACCAGACCATGTCTCTCAAGACAGCAGTGATTGAGTACCCCATGATGTGTCCGAACCTTGAGAACGACGATCCGCTGTGGGGGGATATTTTCAAATTGCTGTACGCGAAGTATTCGCCGGACAATTTTGACAGGTTGCCAGAGTTGCACAACAAGTACGGCGAGTGCAAGAGGGATTGGTACGCCATGTTCGTGAAGGCCAACCTCCTCGACAACGACACGCTGCGGGCTGTTCTGGGTGGTGTTCTCCAGGAGCAGACCTCAGAGGTCAAGGACGACCAGCAGGTCACGGCCACCATCCCGGAGAGCGACGAGGAGGAGCCAGCCAAGAAGCGCAGGCGCGGCAAGAAACGATGCCGGCCTGGAGCGAACGACCGCCGGGCTGCGAAGGCACAGAAGGCGCAGGACGACTCACAGAGACAGTCCACGGCTGCGGCCGCCGGAGCCGCGGATGGGGGGAGCACGTGAATCCTTTGAACCCCACGTTTCTGAGTGGTCATGCGCGTCGCACCCGGATCAGTGAGCAGATTAGCAATGCAGAATCATGTGCATAGCATCTTGAGGCATGGTGTGTATTATAGTTCTGATAAACTGTTTCGGCATACGCGCGCTGGAGGCGCGACGCCCCGGGAGCTCTCGACCCCGTCCCTGCTTGGGTCGTTTCTTCTTTCCCTGGGCTCTCGACCCCTTCACGGGGTGTAGACGTCCGGAGACCTGTCGGGAGGGCTTCCTTTCGATCGGCTCCAGGACCCAAGCCATGTGAATAGCGTGTCACACAAGCAGAACTGTTTGTAGACTTTATTGCCAAAGCCATCGCCGATCTATCGATGATGCATGCATCTGTGCTGTCCGCAGCTACCTTTTTTAGTCAATGTAATAACATATTGTCTATCGCCGGTTGGCAATCCAGCTACGTCTGGCACGCGCGCGCCAGCTGCTACTGCAACCGCTCTGGCTCAAGCCGAGCGCACACTGACTGGAAAAGGTACTCGCCTTTCATCCTTCTATTCGTTCCACTGCGATCGTCATGTCAGAAAATTTACCCCTAGTAGCAGTGACAAGGAACGCCCAAGAGGCCCCCCAACACACCCCAAGAAATCATGTCCCCAGAAAACCTTCCGGGGACATGGTTCATCATGGGCTCGAGAGTTCCCGGAGGCCCCCAAGGGGCCCCCAGGGAACGCCCAAGAGATCCCCCAACGCACCCCAACAAACCATGTTCCCAGAAAGCCTTCGGGGACATGGTTCATCATGGGCCCGCCAGTCTCCTGAGGCTTCGAAGTACCATCATGCTACAGGAGAGCTGTCTGGGAAGTTGATTGGGAACATGACTGATCGCCTTCTCGCGGCCATCCGCAGATCGTTTCGCACAAAGTTACCCCAAGTGCCCTCTTGAATCGACGACGACGACGAAACGACGAAGACGACGACGACGACGGCACGCCCCAATAGGCGACGACGACATTACGACGACATTACGACGACGACGACGACGACGACGACGACGACGACGACGACGACGACGACGACGACGACGACGACGACGACGGTGCGCCCCAATAGGCGACGACGACATTACGACGACGACGACGACGACGACGACGACGGCGGCACGCCCCAACCGGCTCCCCAAGACGCCCCAAACCCATGCTCCCAGAAGGCTTTCTGGGAACCCGATTCATACGGCCTCCGCCCCCCTACACAACCATTTTCCCCAAAGGCCTTTCGGAATGCAGATTGGCATGCGTGGACTGTGGTCCACTACTTCAGTGGAGCAGTGAATTCGTCAAGGCCTGGGGCCTGCTAGAACCTGAGCGCGCGCGAAGCGCGCGCGATGGTTCTAGTGCTTATATATGTATATATATATATAATATATATATATATATATATATATATATATATGTCACATACGATCTTGGGGCCTCGGATCCGATGTGCAATCTATTTCACTGCGGGGTTCCAAAAAGTCCCGATCCTTCAGGGTTCATTTCGATCCGATCGATCCGATTTGATGCAGATTCCGGCCAGCCCGATCCGATTCGATCCCGCTATTCCGAGGATCCGATCCGGCCCGATGCTTGCATCGCGCCGCTGTGCATCCTGGCGCAGCCGATCCGTTTCGATTTCGATCCGTGCCGTTGCGGCCCGATCCGATGCACATGTCGACTCGATCCGATTTGCCGCTTCGATGCCGACTGGTTCTGCCCTCACACTGCGGAACTCCTTCGTGTTGGTTCTGCTCAGTGCGTCGGAGGTCTGTCCTCTCGGTGAGGGCCCGGCGCGAATGCCCTCATGGTGCCGTGCGTGCTGAGCCATGTTCTAGGCCTCCCAAGCAGGGTCCGAGTAGACGGGGTCGAAGGATCGCGCTGCACCCGCGACGCATCGTCGATGCAGCGCCGATTCTTTCCACGTGCGGCGCCGACGCATCGCCCGCGCCGCCGGCACATCGCCGATGCATCGGCGATGCGGCGCGCGATCCTCCAACCCCATCAATTTGGACCCTGTGAGGCGTCCTCAGCGTTGCGTCGTATCCGGTTTTGCAGGCCGCCGCGGCGATCGCGGCGGCCACGAATCGGGGCAGCCTGCTCCTTCGCAGCCCTGCCTCGCGCTGCGATGCAGACGTGGCTCTTGTAGTCCACCAGAGAACGACAGAGAGTTGTCAGTAAATGGTCCACGTTGGCAGTCACGTCGTTTCCCTCGGGGATCGATCAACACGCAACCATCTATACAGTCAGCTCGCAGAGTAAGGATGAACAAGTTTCCGAAGTAACCCTTGCATCCTTCCCCTTCGGCCCATCCTTGTCCGCTTTCGCTGGCCGCGTCCCGCTCGGTAAGTGTCAACATGGCCTTCATCGAGCAGTGGCGAAGCGTCCTGGCCTGCTTTTACCGTAGACGGGCTAACTGCGATGTAGGTAACGGCGATGTAAGTTTCGGTATTGTGGGAACGCGTGGTTCGCGCTTTCCTGCAATTCGCTGTGTCGTGTTCGCTCGATCCATTCGCAGGTAGGACATGTAGGAACATGTTGTTCGTGATTTCCTACACTTCTGGTTCCCAACATCACCGTTAAGCAACATCGCCATCTGCCTGGCCTTCGTTTTAGTCCCACCGAAGAATGTTCTGAGAATTTTTTGTGGTCTGCACGATGTGTTCTTGAGAACATTTCTGGCTGAGACTCTCGTGTTTTAGCACATCGGGCTTATGTTCCAAGATCACTGCTCCCGTTCTCGTGACAGCTTTGGGGTCCTGCAGCATACCGTGGCAGGCCTGGAGGAATGCCGGGGACGGTCGGCCCCTGCTCAATGCCGAGGCCCTGGCGTCCTGTCCTCACTATACGCGTTGGCTCTACATGCGGGCCGCGCTGCGCCGTGCCAGGGCCGTGCCGTAGCGCGCCGCGCCGTGGGCGCCGCGCCACAGCAGGGCCGCGCAGGGCCGCGCCGCGCCGCGCCTCCCGGCGCCCTCGCCGCCCCCCGGGGCGCCGCGGGGGGTGCCGTGCGCGCCTGGCGCTCCGTGCCGTGCGTGCCGTGCGCGCCAGCCGTGCGACGCGCCTGCCGTGCGGCGCCGGGCGGTGCCCCGAGTGCCGTGCCGTGCTGCTCGGGACGATCGAAGCGGGTGCGGGAAGGAGGGGGACCTCACCACCCGAAGGCCTCAATGCGCCCTCCATTCAGGGAGCCTTGAAAAAACACACGGGGCCCGTACCCCCCCAACCCGAAGTTCGGGTCGAATTCGGGTCTTCGGGTTGGGTTGGGGTGGTCTGGTAGGTAGTCAGTACAAAGACCGACAGCAGTTCCTGCTCATTTTGAACAGGACTCGCTGTCGACGTCGCCTCGGACGTGGTTCATTCGAGGCAAAGGCCGCCTGCCCAGCAGCGGCCGCTGTCGGTTTTGGACAACATTTGCTGTTGAGCATTGCACTTATTTGTGTTCGTCCCCATCATACGATCTAGAGCAAGATTTCTGTCAGGCACTCTAATCATGTAATGGGTGCTTCGGCCCCAACCCGCGGCAACTACAGGGTGCGCAGTGCGGGTCGCAAGTCGCAGTCGCAGTCGCCCCCACTTCGGGCGTCCGAAGCTGTGCGCGCTGGCGTGAGCAGGCCCGTGCTTGCGTGCCGTCTGTGCCGTGGCAGGGGGGGTGCCGTGCCGCGCGTGCCGCTGCGTGTGTCGCGCCTGTGCTCTTTCCTTCCTGTCGGCCTCTCCTGTGGTGACGGTGCAGCGAGGCGCGATGGCTCCAGGCCCCCGTCGGGGCAGCGCCAAAAGTCACGGCGGGCGGTTTTTGGGGGAGGTTTGGGGCTCCTCGAGGTCCTCACCGTGCCCAGGGATCGTCAGGCAAGGACTCGGGACGAGAAGGCCGGTCCCGGGGACCGGGTCGAGGTCTGCAGGGGTTGCTGCAGTGAACAAAACATGTTGTCGCACTGTCGCGTCCGTTTTTCTTGCACGCGCACGCCAGCCCGGACGCGGTGCCAGATTGGGTGCAACAATAGCCGCCGCCAGGATTGCATTGTCTGGAGCATTAAGCAGTTCCAGGCTGGCCTCTCTTCAGCCCGTCTTATCTTCTTGCGTTGGGCAGCGGGAGCCTGCGTTGCATGCGGCGAAGGATCAAGTATGGAGAAGTGGGATTAGGAGTAGGAGGAGGTGGAGGAAGAAGGGTGGGGAGGCCGCCTTACAGCTAGGAGGTCATGCATATGAGCGAAGAACGAGTGATGCACACTTCACACACATGTGCAATGGTCGATTTGGTCTACGTGCTGTATAACTTCCACGCCATATTTGTACACCTATATGCATATTCATATATACATGCAGTTACAGTTTAACAAACATGTGTATAAGCTTGTTTACATCTCTATATGTATATCGATACATGTAGAGATAATGCATACAGCAACCGTGGGTGTATATGTGTGTGGTGAGGGAGAAGGGGGGCATGGCGAGCTCGGAAGTATACATATATATATATATATATGTCGGCGGTGCGCCGTGGCACGAACCCCCCCCCCAGCACTACCGGGGGGTTTCGTGCACTACCGGGGGGTTTCGTGCAGCCCGCACCGGGTGCCGCCAGCGGCTTAGAACACCCCCCCTTTGCCGCTTTACCGGGGGGTTTCGTGCAGGCCGCACTGCGTCTACCTGGGCTCCCCCCCCCCCTGTGGGAGTGGGGGGGTGGGAGTGGGGGGTGGGTTGGGGGGGGGGCAGGGGGGCGGTTGGGAAGGGTGGCTCCCTGTCGAAGTGTGGCGTGTGCTCGCCTTGTGTTCTCTATTCGCGTCTGCTCGCCTTTGTTCCGCCGCAGCCTCTCGTATTGTGGCTCGTGGCCACAATACGAGAGGCTGCGGCGCAACTCCCGAGAGCCGCTGTGGGGGGTCGACGGCACGGCCGCGTAGAGAAGAACAGTGCCGCCGTGTTCCGGCACGGCCCTGGGATGCAATGCCGCCGCCGTGTTCCGGCCCGTCCTGGTAAGATTCGCGCGTCGGGGCTGGGTTTCGCGCGTGCTGGGAGCGCGCCGCTTACGGAGGGGTTGCGTCCTTACCGGGGGGTTTCGTGCAGCCTACCAGAGGAGGTCGTGTTTACCGGGGGGTTTCGTGCAGGCTCGCACCGGGAATGGCGCCAGCTCGAAACCCCCCAGGAGAGGTTACCGGGGGGGGGGTTTCGCTCCGCACCGGGCACCGCCGACATATATATATATATATATATATATAGAGAGAGAGAGAGAGAGAGAGAGAAACAGAGAGAGAGGGAGCGAGAGAGACTGACCCTCGGGGCTGCTCCCTTACACCAATTCTTCTCGAGAAGGGCGTCGTTCTCGAAATCTCACATGGATGACCACTCTGCTGAGGGTCAGCGTTTAGGGACTGCGTGTGAGCCTGCCTATGGATGTCTCCATAGGGGGCGGAGCAGGAGGTGCGAGCTGGGAGGAGGGGGAGGAGGATGATGATGATGAGGAGGAGTAGGAGGAGGAGGACGATGAGGGGAAGGAGGCGGAGGAGGAGGAGGACGACGACGAGTGTAAACCCAAGACTCATCAACGATGTTGGAATGCAGCCTCCCTCCAAGCTCCCTCTTCACAGGCATCTACAAGGGTTCTTGTCCACTTCGGGAATTGCCCCCTTCGGAGACAACCGTATGAAAATCCTGAAACTTGCCCAAACACCATTCTCAGGACTGCAACGCCACGAGTTCACCTGATTGTAAGGTCTTGGCGATCGTGACTCGTGCCAGAGCACCAGTCCTGTGGATTCCCAGCCACGCTCCCGAGGCCTCAGGAAAAGTCACGCGCACCCAGGAGCGCCAGGAACCCTGGAATACGGGGACCTGCAATGCGCAACATTGGGGACCCTGAGGGGCCCAGGGAAACGCCACTCGGTGCCCCGCGGCACGGTGGGGGATACTGGCGGCTCGTGAGTGAGACGGGTGGCCAGGCTTGCACGGCGCTTTCATAATAGTGCCATCACCCTTGGTCGTCGCCGTCGCATTCCGTTGCAACTGTGGTTCGAGCTCTGGTTTTCACAGCCGCCGAGACGTCCCCGCACCTGTCTCGTGAGGGCTTGCCCGGGGATGTCGCGTAAGCTCGGCGATCGACGTTCGATCCGTGCCCCTGCTGCTGCCCTCCGCCCTGGGCGCTAGGGGGAACGGACTGAAGGCGCGGCCTCGGATTCCAGGAATCTGTCACCATTCGGGGTCGGGGCGCGAACAGGGGCATGGGTGGACTGCCGATCGCCTGTAAGGCGGTCATCATTTCATGCGCTGCTGCCGGCGCCGTCACCGCATTCGCCCTCCATGTTCTGTGGCGCCGCAGGGCCAAACTGCAAGCGACCCGTGAAAATTCAAGAATCTTTCTGGAGGGCTTCGCCCCCTGCCGCCAGCCTCCTTGTGTGACTGCCTGCCTGCTTGGCTAGTTTGGGTGGTTTAGTGATTTGTTGGTTTACTGGTTGGCCTGTGAGTGGATTGCCCACTGGGTTTCTAGGTTGGCAGATCGCCAGGTTGGCTGGCTGGCTGGCTGATTGGCTGGCTAGTTGGCTGGTCGGATGGCTGGCGGAGCGCGGATTTATTGTTCTACGAGTGATGGTGGGCTTGGGAGGGTGGACCCATTGCTGTTTCCTTCTACGGGGGATCATGCTCTCGAGATCGCGTGCGACATGTAGGATGATCGCAGATGATCGGGATCGTTTTTTTGAGCACTGCTGGATACCTGCGTAACAAGTGGGCCAAGGGTCCTGTGAGCCAAACGTCCCTGGGACATCTACGTGAGAGGCAGAGCACGTGGCGGCAGGAAACGGCAGGAACGAGGGGAGGGGACAGTACCCAACGGCTCCTCACCAGGGATCGTGGCGCTCGGAGCGCAGGGTCACAGTTTTTTGCCGAGGATCGAGGGCTCGGGAGCTCAAGTCCAGTGCCTTCTAAGCTGATTGTGGCCTCAGGACGTGGATCCATCGCTTCTTGCTGCACGAGGGATCCTGGCCTCGGGAGCGCGGCCCGGGTGCGTTTTTTTGCGGGGGGTCCGCGGGGTTCTTTCCGACTCGTCTGGCTCGAATCGCACCTGCTTTCCTGGCTGCCGATTCGAACCGACTCGATCCGGAGACTCCGATCTGCGATTCCGATTTTGGCTTCGCCCGATCCGCGTCCTGCCGATTCGATGCGGCAGTCGGCTTCGGCCGATTTCCTGCCGATCCGGCTGCGCGCCGACGCTGGGGAGGTGCCGTGGGGAGGCGCCTCATTGTCCCCTCGCCTGTTGTCCCCTCCCCTGCTGTCCCCTCCCCTACTGTCCCCTCCCCTTCTGTCCCCCCCCCTACTCTCCCCTCCCGTACTCTCTTTTTTTTTCCCTCCCGGCCTTCCACTTTCGATGCCGATCTGGCTTGCCGTGGTCTGGTTTCCGATTCGATCCGACTCGGCCCTACCGACTTCTGTCGATTTCGATTTGGCTGCCGATTTCTGCCGACTTTTGCCGATTCGATTTTCGGGTCGATCCTATTCGACTTTCCGATTCGATGCTGGGGCCACCTGTCGTAGCATCGGGAGCGAAGGCCCTTCGGTTTATTTCACAGGTGCGCGTGGCCTCAGGAGCGCTGGTTCAGAATACGTCTGTTTTGCAAAGGGTCGTGGCCTCAAGCGCACAGAGATCGTGGCACTGGGTGCGCATGTCCAACTGTTCTTCACTGGGATCTTGGCTTCTGGAGCGCGGGTGACTTATTTTTTCATTGGGAATCGTGACCTGGGGAGAGCGTGCTCGTATTTCCCACCACGGATTATTGCCTCGCGAGCGCGGGACATGGTTTTAGTTAAAAGGAAATCGTAGCCTTGTGAGCGCGGATCTTTTTTTGTTGCTAGAAATCCTAACCTCAGTAGCGGGGACCTGTATCATTATCAGTATTGTTGTTGCTGTTCGTGTCATTACTATTGCTCTTACTATTACGATGATTCCGTATTATTGTTATCGCTTGTTATCGTGATGATGATGATATTCGTTTTTCATTATTAATCTTAATATCATGGTGATGTGGTTGGTGTTGTTGATGATGGTGATGACGATGAAGAGTGTTGTTATTATTCTTATCGAGATTATTATTGTTACTCTGATTATTGTTGTTTTTATCTTACATTAATGTCTCATTCACGGTCTCATTATATGTATCCTTGCCACTCGTAGTCTGTAGCAGTTGTATTACCATTGTTGTTAGTTCACGCTCTAGTATTCTTAGTACTACTGTCAGTACTGCTATCATTACTATTATTCGTCTTCTTTGCATTCCGACATCATCATCATTATTCTTTTTACTATTGCTATATTGCTACAGTCATCACTATCCATATCTATTGTTTCATTCTCATGAAAGCATTATTATTACTATTGCTACCACTGCTGTTGTTGTTCGCATTGCTATCATTGTTATTGATGTTGTTGTTATTATTAGTCTGAGTGTCAGGACTCCTACTCGTGTTGGTAGTTGCATTACTGTTACCATTACTGCTAACACTCTTAATTCTTACTATGTGTTTTACTCGTACTATTACTGTTAGTATCACTAGTGTTATGCTTTATGCTTATTGCTATTACACTACTGCTAGTTTTTATTCCTGTTACTATTACGAGTACTATTACCATTCCTATTTTTATTGTTATTACTGGTATTATTACTGCCAATATTTCTATTACTATTAGTAGTGCGACTAGTACTCTCATTAGTACTCTTATTCTTACCCTTAAACTCATTATTACCCTTATTTCGACTAATGCTATTACTCTTACGGTGGCTAGCACTAGCACTATTATGCTATTGTTAGTATTGCTACTACTGTTACAAGTCCTAGTGCTGTTGCGATTGGTATTACTATTACTATTTGTTGTTGCTATACATATGACTATTGCTATTACCATTATTCGTATTATTACGATTGTTGTTACGAGTGCTATTACCGTTGCTACTGCTTTTACTGCTACTAGCACTGCTACTCTTATCATTATTATGGTTGTTATTCTTATGACTACCATGACTAATATCATCAGGATTTTCATTCACCATACTAGTTTCACG